CCCCAAAACCCCAAAACCCCAAAACCCCATAAGATTGCAATTTTATCATTAATGAGATAAGATGAAGAATTAATTTTTTAATTAATTTTTAGTTGTAAATTTAATTCATCATTTTACGATTTTTATCTATTACTTTAACAATAATTTCTTTCAATATTAGCAAATTTTATATATTCTAATGATATTTAACTTCTGCTACTATTCTTGAATTGAATCTATAATTTTTTAGTCTCACATTTAATCAGCTATTTTCTGTATTAAGTCACTTAAGTTCTCAAATAGATCTTTGCCTTTATAAAGTCTTAGCGAGAGTTCTTCCAAGGCGTCGAAAAAGCTATTTAAATCCATTTAGCTATTTTCACTTTTCCTGACTACATTTTTATAGATTATATCATAATGTGCTTTTAAAAGAGTAGAGTTAGTAAGTCCCGAATACTTGCTAAGTCTTTAGAATTAAGAGCTAGTTATTTAGTCGCAGCCCTTTGTACCTGCAAGTTTTTAGAAGATATTCTCTGCAGTAGAGTAAATGTAGAATTAATTATAATGCGAACTTTCTGAAGGAAGTATTCTTTTCAAGCATCCTATTTCACTGAAGTCATCATCTTCATCTGCTTTTTATAATTAAGTATGCCCAACTAGCTTAAGTGTGTCTGATATCAACATGCATTTAACGTATTTATCCAACTCAGAAAGTGTTTGCTCTATATCTCCATTTGGTAATTCTTTGTCGATGTAAACATTAAGGCTTGGATTAGCGTTAATTTCAATCAACCAGACATTAAACTATTCATCTATCATAATATCTAAACCAAGTATCTGAAAGCACTTTGGATTAGCATTTTCAGAGTTTATAAAGCAGTGATAAGCATTTTTAAGATAAGGTTCAAGAGAGATGACCGTCTTAATAGCCACATCCTATATTTATCTCTTCAAATGTCTAATGTCTTTTCCTTTTTATAATAAAGACTTATAGATATTAGTTAAAAGTCTCTTAGATGCTTAACTTTCCTTATAAAATTCCTCTATTTAAAAAATCAATTATCTTAAAATTTACCTTCAGGTTATATGAATTTATCTGAGTTCTTGTTTAGAGAGAAGTTTGTTAGATGCATGTACAAATTCTTGATATTTTAATGATCTGGTTTCTTGTAATTAGATGTGCAGAATCTGGCAAGTCCCTCATCACAAAGGTAAGCTTCAATCTCTTCGATTCCTTTTATCACTACATATATTCTAAAGTCAAATTTTTTCTTGTCAATCAGAAATGGATTTTCAATATATCTTTGCACTATGAAATCATGTTGTAATGCAGATTTCGGCAATTCTGAGAATCTCTTGACTAAGAATATGCCATCTCCTCCTCTGCCTTTAGATGGCTTAGCAATAAATGTATAATTAGGAAAAGCCCTCATATATTCTTCAAGCTCGTAGGCCTCATCAGGTAGTAAAAACGACGGTGGTGTAAAGTTGAACTTGTCTGGGAAAAATCTTTGAAGTCTGCTTAGAATTACACAAAACACATTCTTTTTTGCAAAATGCTAGCTATAAATATAAAATTGACTAAACTCACATCCATCAGCGGGTATCTATTGACTAATGCATTTCTCACCCTAATTACATCTATATCATGATCTCTTAATGCCAAGCCATACCTAAAATGGAAGTTATTCAAACTTTTTTAATTTACCATAAAATATTCCCATCTCCTGCTTATGTGCTCTCTCTATAGCCATGCTTATCAATCACATACTGCACTGTATCTAGTTCTGCTCTACAGTGAGAAGTATTAACTAGCAATCTGAGCTTTTTTCTTTCCTTCTTAGTGGAGATATTCAAACCGTTATTTGCACTTACTGGTTGAGCTTCTTAACTTTCATCATCTTCGTTATTATGGTCCACAATTGACTCTTATAATTTCATTTCCTCGATTCTTTTATTTTATAGCTCAATCTCTCTTCGCAGATCATATTATGTTGTGGGGATTGAGAACATTGGCTTCGCCGGTTCATCATCTGTTACTGTACTTTAAAAAAATGGCTATCTCCTGCTCTAATTAAATTGCTCCTGCTGTTACTGTTACTATTAGTCTTGGTTTAGCTACAAAGGTATAGTATTTATAATTTACTGCCCGTATTAACTCAATCCATTCTGCATAGTCGATGTTGCCTAACCTCCATTTACATTAACACTCAATCTAGGATTTTAAATAGTTTTCTAATGCCTCTATGGTGACTACAATCCTTTTGTTGGCGATGTTATTCTTTGATCAATAAACTGATTTGTCATTATCATATTAGTTTATGTTTAATTAAGCCCATTAACAGCACTCATGATATGAGTATTATTTACTGCTCTTTAGGCCTCTTTCTATAACTTTTCCATTGCTGATTAGTACTCCTTCTTATGAGGAGATTTGAATGGCTAGTAGGATGTTCGACGCATTTGATTGCCATGATTTTCAATAATTATTTCACGCATTATCTCACTCGATTTATCCATTCTTGTTAATAAAATTTTAACAATCTTTAATTCAATACAATCATATTCAACGATGTGGCTCTATGGGGTTTTGGGGTTTTGGGGTTTTGGGGTTTTGGGG